CTCCCGCCAGAATGCCAGTCCTCGCCACAACAGCATGTCCTTAGTGACTCCCCCTCCTCTGATGGCATGTCCCCATAGTCGCCACACTCGTCGCAGTATGTATGTTGACCATCGCTCCCCCTTTGTCTTGTGTAGGAGTGCTCTGGTGTTGCGGAGCGTGCGGGTGTTCCAATCGGCCCACTGCTCCCCTGGTCGCCTCCCCCCGCTGGTCATGCTGCGCAGTTGGCTGAGTTGTTGTGTGTTGGCTGCCCGCAATAGGGTGTCGTGTGGGGTCCATGTCTCACAGCCATAGAGTGCTGTTTGGCGCACGAGCGTGTCGTGCAGGTCGAGTCTGGGCTTGATGGGTGTGGGTGCCTGCAGGATCTTCTTGTTCTGTGCAAAGGCTGCTCTCGCTCTGCTCCCCATTTCTGCTGCGAGCTGTGGTGTGTTCCCCCGGAAGCTGACTGGTGAGCCGAGTGCGCGCAGCGGTGTGTCCCCCGTGTCCGGTAGGACGTCCTCACCCCCTACCCTGAATGTAACTTTGCTTTTGGGGTTGTTGCTGATGATGTGTGTTTTCTTGGGGTTGATCCGCAGGCCGTGCTGGTGGAGCAGGCGTTCCAGTGTGGACAGTGTGTGTTGGATGTGTGCGGGGTTTTCGCCCCAGATGTAGGTGTCGTCCATAAAGGCGCCTCCATGATGTGGCGGGGGTGGGCAAAAGGGTCGGGTCCCCCCCCTGGGCAAGGCTTGGGTGGTGGCGAGGGTGCGCTCCAAGAGTTCCCCCACGCGCGCGGAAAACAGCACTGGGGAGTCAGGGGACCCCTGGCGCACGCCGTTGGTTTGGTCCACCTCCACTTCTTTGTCCCCCACTGCAATGTGTATGCTCCTGGCGTCCAGTAAGGACAGCCAGAGCTTGGCCTCCCATGGTTGGGCGGGTCCAATCTGCTGGGTGACCAATTCCCCCAAACTTTCTTGTGCCACGGAGTCGAAGGCCTTTTGGAGATCCAATTTGATGATCCAAAACTCACCTCCCCAGTCGGCCCCCATCCTCGCGATCTTCCGCAGAACGAGGATGAGTTCTACTCCTTGCCTGCGTGGCGCCGCCCACTGGTAGGTGTGGAGGTGTTGCAGGCAGGGTGTCCCCCTCAGCAGCAGTAGCTGCGCAAGTGTCTTGAGGACGGCGCTGCTCAAGGTGATTGGTCTGGTATCCCCCCAGTTTGCTGGGCATCCCCCCTTTGGTAGTAGTACCGTCAGGCCCCGTTCCACCAAAGCAGGTAGCTTGCCGGAGTAGAGGGCCTCGTTTAGCATGGCAAGGACTCTTCCCCCCCAGATTGGGTGAAGGATCAGCATCTGGAGTGCCTCGTGTGCGATGCCATCAACTCCTGTGCTTTTATGCTTCCCCCACCTGCTGCTGATGACCAGGAGTTCCTGGTGGGTGAAAGGTCGCCATGGTGTGTGTTTGCATCCCCACGCCAGTGTGTTGCTCATGCGGGTGAAGGCTTGCTGTTTGGCGGTTCCGTCGGCTTTGTGGAAGATGCTGGAGAAGTGGCTCAGTAGGGCTGCTTGCCAGTTGTGGGTGTCGACTAGCGTTGCCAGCCATGCTCCCTTGTTGGTGGTTTGCTTCTGGTATTGGCGGAAGGCTGCCCAGTCCTTGCTGCTGGCGAGTTGGACCAGCTGCTGCAGGTGTTGTTTGCGCTCCCCCTTCAGCTGTTTCTGGACGACTTTCCATGCCTCTCGTTGCGCGGGTCCCGGTGGGGTGGCATGGGCTGCGCGGCGCAGTTGTCTGAGCTGAGCGCTTTCACAGAACGGCGCTGCGTCCCCCCGGCCTGGTTTGGTGATGTGCCTGGCAGATCTGGGCGATCTGGTGGTGGCGGTCTGCTGGCGGTTGTTGTGCTGTGTGGTCCAGGTAGTCTGGCACGGTCGTGCCTGGCGGCGGGTGGAGGTGTCGCACCCCCCCTGTGTGGTTGGGTTTGGCGAGCTTGCGCACTGTTGCTCTGAGCTGCGCCAGGACCGGTTCGTGGTCCGAGCTTGCTATGTGTCTGGCTGGGATAGGGCCCGCTGCAAGGCTGTACCCTTTTCTAAGCAACAGGTAGTCCAAACGACTTGGGTCGTGTTGTTGGTTGTACGGGTGGTAGCTGGGGACGTGGAGGGCTTGTGGTGGCATGCGCAGGTGGTGGTGTGTCCCCCAGTTGAGGAGTAGTTCTCCTCGCCCCGTCTGTGCTCGCACTTGGGTGGCGTCTGCTGCGTGTTCGGTGAGCTGTTCGTTGGCATCCAACCCCACTACCAGTTTAGGTGTGCTGAATGCAGGCTGGTCCCCCCAATCAGCGAGGATCATCTCTGTTTCAGGTATTGTGGCATGGTGTGGGATGTGGCCACTGAGCAGCCCCCATCTGTCGCCCGTGTGCATGCGCAGGACCGTGCTCACTCCCCTTTGTGTGACTGTCGATTGTGTGTGTGTAGCGACCGCTGTGCGAAAAGCAATGGCCTCTCCTCTGAACTCTCCCTCTTGCTTGCCGAAGACCAACTTCCATCCGTGCCCGTCTTGAAAAAACCTGCCAGGCTTAGTGATGATTTCCTGCAGCAGGATCACGTGTAACATGCAAAGGTGTTTGGCTCCCCCGAACGAGCGCAGCAGGTCAAGCGTGCCGTTGGCTGTTAGGCCGCCCACGTTCCAAGTTGCCAGGTGAAAACAGTCCACCCCCTTGAGGGGTCTGAAAACGCAAGTGTTCAGCCGTGGGGAGGGCGGCTTTTCGTCCTCCTCACTCTCGTCAGTGCTCCCCGTGGGCTCTTCTCCTCAGCGCAAGGCCTGCTTGAGTTCGCCCCACGCGTCCGTCACTGTTGCCAGTGGCTGCCCCAGTCCTGCGGCTATGGCTCGTAGGTCGATCCAGCCTGCGCCCGCGGTCTCCGCCCCCATCACCGGCGAGGTGGTTGCAGAGCAGACTCGGGTGGCGTTCCACCAGACAGTCCCGGTGGCCCACTCCACTTCGAGGCCGTGGTTGTTCCCCCCATTGGCAGCCAGGATAAGCCTCTTTGCTTTTCCCGCCAAGTGGGCACGGCGGCGCCTCTCTGGCGACTGGCTCATCTGGAGCCAGAGATATCTTGTCCCCCCATCGTCTTTGCGACCCATCACCACGTTGGCGTTCCTGATGCGTCTCAGTGCCTGCTGGAGCCGTTCTCGCAGTTCTCCCCCGGTCTCGTTGCGGCGTGGCTGGTAGGGGATGATGACGTATCCTCTGCGAACCCCCGGGCAGAAGGCGCCGTCCATGTCAATGTCCAGGCGCAACTGGTTGACCATGTCTTTGGCCTTCTCCAAGGTTTCAGCCGCCGGGGTGTTTTCGTCCCACCCACCGAAAATGAGCGCAGGTTGCTTCGCGCCCCCCTCGGTGTCAGCTGTGGAGCTTCCCCCATGGAGTTGGAGCTGTTGAACCTTCTGCTCCAGCTGTGTTAGTCTTCCCCCGGTGGCTTGTTGGTCGGCTTGGACTGCAGCGAGAGCTCGGCCTTGTTCAGCTTGACTGTCTGTCAGGGCCGCCAGCTTCTCCAACGTTCGTTCTAGCTGTCCTCCCACTTTCTCTTCCACGGTGTCCATGCGTTTGTTGACCGACTGGGAGATCTCCTGCTTGAGGGCCTGGCTGTTGGCTGACAGCTCGCCCTTGATCACCTCTCGGATCGCATCCAGGCTGAGGCCATCTCCCCCTGCTGGTGCTCCCCTCTTCTTGGTCCCCCCTGGGTTTTCTGCATCCATTGGCGTAGTCATGGTTATTATTCGCGGTGGCGATGCCCAAGTCACGATCACTGGGATGTGGTAGGCGACGTTCGAGGTAGTCCCCCCGGTGAATCGGCGAGTGGAAGGTGTTCACGCGTAGGCCGCCGATGCCTATGTGATAGTGGTTGACACACTCCCCCGCACGCCTCAGCGCCGACACCCGTGTGCTCCGAAGCCGCCGAACTCACGCGACAGAGCGATGATCTTGCCCCCGCGTAGTATTGCAAACAGGTAGTCGAGCTCGAATGGCGGCACGGTCCGAGCGGGTCCTCGGGATGTCACACCTGTCACGGGACTGTTTCCCCCTACTTCGGTTGAGATGCCTGGTCACGGGGCGGCACCTTGAGCACTCGCGGCTTGAGCCAAAATGGCTACTGTCTGGAGGTCTCTCTCTCTCTCTCTCTCTCAACACAGCCAGGGAGGTCTGCGATCGCCAACCCCCCGCGTGAGTTCGCGCACTGGGGAATCACTGTGCAGACTGACGCAGTAGGAGTGTGAACTTCTGTCACCGGTTCCGCAACCACAACACCCGAACACTCTGTTACCCCCAACTCGCCTCGAAGGCTGAGACGATAACCCCCTATCACCGGGAGCCTGACTCAACTGTTAAACTGAGGGTCAGACTCTCTCCCCCCTCTCTCCCCCCCTCCCCCTCCCTCCCTCCCTCCCTCCCTCGCTCGCTCGCTCGCTCGCTCGCTCGCTCGCTCTCTCTCTCTCTCTCCCTCTCTCTCTCTCTCTCTCTCTCTCTCTCTCTCTCTCCCGGGCATGGGGACGGGTCAGCGCCCCCGGGCATCATGCCCACCCGTCGTGTTGACGGACTCGGGGGGTGAAAGAAAGAACGGCAGACCTTGTAAGGCTAGAGCCATAAATCATACGATATCGGAACCCAAAGTCCCCCGTTCTTTTGTTTGACACAGCATATGCCTGATCCCCCCAATAAGCAACAAGACTACCTATAATGCTCCAATAATTTAACCTGAGGGGATTTGTTGGCGATGCACGAATCTATATTCAGTTGGCAGTTCTGAGGGATTTCACAAGAACAAGGACATCACATAAAGACCATGCTCTCTCTCTCTCTCTCTCTCTCTCTCTCTCTCTCGCTCTCTCTGTTTCTTTCTTTGTTTCGCCAGGTCTATGGCAGTCTATGGAGTAGGGGATTTCCCCCACTCTGTAGCTGCGCGGGCAGTTTGCACACCCTGCTGTGTCGAGGAGACTCAAGAAGCCCACCCGGTGGAGCACAGACGTTGTGCCCAGGCACATGAAAATGTGAGCCTGGAAGACATTGCAACGGCTCTCGGCACCGCGGAAGTTCGACCAGCCCATGTACCGGTAGCAGTTCCGTTGGTACTGCTTCCAGCCGTGGGGACACCTCAAACACAGACAAACTCGAGTTCCTCAAGTGCAGCATAGGAAGGTGACGAAGAATTCCTGCAGGCAGCCACGCCACATAGTGTTGTAATTCGCTATACGATACGTCGGCCGCCAGCGCAGGTATACTGGCCAGACATGGCCTCAGCTGTGCCGCAACACCAACCACAATGAACGTGGTATGCACAACTCCAGCACAGTGCCTACTGATGTCTGCTCGGTGCTTCGCACTGAGTTCCTATCTAACGACCTTACGGCTTGATGCTTGAGCGGCCTGAAACGTAACGTCTGCATGAAGCGCTGACATGCTCCAAGCTTTCTGCGTCAAGGGGCGGGGCATGGGCAGGGCGTACATTCCCGTGCCAGCATTGTCGGGAAGCAGATCATAAACATAATCCTCCACCTGGCAGGGAAGTGAACAGACCGCGGTCCCGACTAGCGAATTCCCGAAGCATCAGAAGTCGCCACTCGCCTGCGATTGGCTTGCGGTGAAAGTGGCTGGGCAGGACCAGATACCTTCGTGAAATCGACCTCCACCCTCCTGTCAGGCTGCAGCACGACATGAGTAGGGGGTTGTTGGAGAGCAGATCAATGTCTGCCTTCTCCGATTGCAGACATGTATACAAGTACATTTATGTGGTCTGCAAGACGCAGCTCTAGGAGTTTAGACATGGCTTACCAAAGGAAACACGCATGCTCGCTAGGTCGCGAATCGAAGAAGAGATGACGGCTGGAGCAACACCGAGCAACTTGCTACTCTAGCACGCTTCTGTGCCGGGAGTGCTGCAACGGACCGCCCAAGAGCATTGCTATTTGATCCGGTCCCTGTGGTAGTACCAGCGATTCCTCTTGTAGTCCACTGCCAAGGAACAAATGTCCTGACCAGAAGGCATTCACAGCTCTGATGCCAGACCCATGTCTGAGATACGCATATGGAAGTAAGGAGCTCTGCGAGCTTTGCAGCCCTCTTACCGAGAAGACCCTGCGATGGCCGCACAGATTGCACTCGTTGGTTGCAAACCAAGTCTCCCCTAGCCAACCAGAGAGCCGTTTCACCTGGTTCCGGGCCGGTCCGCTTATGGCCCGGCGGTACACGTAGCGCGCCCTCGGCGATGCTTCGCTGCCAGAAACAGCTAACTCCAAAGAGCACCACATGCAGGCACATTCCATGAGATACTTCCTTGCTGCTTGCTGGTCAAGCTTCGCATGGATGATGTAATAGCTCTCGCCATCGCTCTCCAGGATCCCACCTAACAGCAGCAACTTTTGCGAAAGCTCATAACATCCCGTTGTGAGGTCGTGCCTTGACGGCCACGCTCACAGCCTGCCATCCAGAAGTTGGACATCGAGGCCAGTATGCGCACCGGCAAGGTGCCTCAGAGGTGTCTGATTGTCGCATGGCCTATTCTGACACGTCGAGCACTAGGACACAAACCCTACATCAACCTCGCTAAATGCTGCAGGTTGCCAGAGCAGCCAAGTCTGATGATCCTCCATCTGCTCTGTCGGTCCAGCACCACCATCTCGCCATCCCCAATAAACACACGATACCTGACCACGGCGTGGTGTACCCGAAGTACCCGACTGTGCACAGGCAGAGAGATGAGAGAGAGATTGAGATAGAGAGAGCCTGAGAGAGAGGCAGTGTGTATCACGAGGGAGTATTGCAAAGCTGGGTTTGCAGCCAAAGGGCCAGTGCATCTGGAACCGGTGTGACAGCCGAGCCCGAGAGGTTCGGCGCAGCCATGGGTTCAGGCAGTCGATGAACCTGACGAAACGATCCACACAAAGCACGGGCTCTTCCTTTCCCTCCCTCCCATATTGGCAACTCTCCGAAGTGCAAGTGGGGAGCGAGAACGTCTGGTAACTGCTCAGAGCATGACCCCGATGATTGAGCAGATGATAGATCTGCCCAGAGACCGGGTCTGCATGGACGGATTCTCTGTGCCAGTTCCATCCCCAATGTGTGTTCAGCCGGATAGAGTTTCCGGCCCAGGATCGAGTAATGCCTGAGAACAGTGTTGGGTCGCGGCCAACGGCGTACGTTGCATGAACCCTTTAGGGTCGGTTTGGCGATCTGATTGGTTCTGTATTCAAGTGGCTCTGTTCAAAAGAAGATATTTTGTTGATGTTTTACAAAGTCCAACGTTTGGAGGTTCGAATAATTCAAGATGGCTAAAGCAAAGGATACCGCTGCTATCTTGATATCACCATGTCCCATCCTCCCTCTCGGCGCCCGGAACCATCAAGGTTGGGTTGTTGGCCCTTCCCCGCTCCTCCTCTCTGCCTATCCACTCTGAAACATGCTTAGATGGGACAAGGAGAATGAAAGTGATGAAAATGAAATAGGCATGGAGATGGACGCGGTGAACTTTTCATACTCTCCTCTCTCCCGCTCTTCCTTTCTTTGTTTCATCCTTCGAAGGAGGGGGACAGGGAACACACCACATCCTCTCGATGTGTTGATGTCCTTTCCTACCTCTCACGTTGTCTGCGCTCTCTCTTTCTCGCTCCCCCCCTCTCTCTCTCTCTCTCTCTCTCTCTCTCTCTCTGCCACGTCTCTCCTCTTCCCTACTCCTTTCAGCGAAGACACAGGATGGAATAGATAGCAACAAAGAAGAGATAAGATGCAGGAAGTTGGTGGCAAAAAGAAAATTGATTCCTCCTTTGCTGGGCTTTGTGGCGTTCTCTTCCGTCGCCTTCTTCCTCTTCTCTCCTGCTTTGCTACTTCACAGAAAAGGATGCATGAAAGGACCGGAAAGCTCTGGGAAAGCAAGTGGCCGTCTATTTCATCATCTCCTCCTTCCTTGTTTTGATTGTCCGATCCATTTCACTCTCTCTCTATCCCTCCGTTCCGCTCTACTTCTGCATTCCCTTTTCCACATCTCTTTCCCGCTTGGTATCTGTAATTTGATTTGAAAATGCCTGTGGCGAATCAGCGGCGGCTCCCAAAAGCTGTTCGCACCGGTTGGTGAAGCCCCCCTACTTTCTGTTCCACTTCCATGTACTGGCATCGCCACGAGGTGCTTACGCAAAAAGCGAGTGTGAAAGATTAAACTGTTTCTTTCACGGCGGAGGGACTGGGGTCGGAGGAGGGGGTTAACGATTAAAAATCATCTTTTAGACGAGGAGTTTGTGGCGGCTGAAAGATGAACTTTTATCGTTTACGGCGGTTGCTTGAGTGCGGGGAAGGGGTAAAAGACAAATTTCTCTGTCACCTCCAACGGGCACATTAAGATTGTTGCCGGATTAGAAAATTCGCAGATGGATTTCTGTTGAGGACGACCGGTCTGCCATGTGATTGTGATCTGGCTCAGCCTTGCGCTTCATCGTGTGGTGCGATATTTAAGACAATTACATTGAGGAAATTGGAGCGTTTCAAGCAAGCCATTGCCTTGATTACGTTACCAAGGAATATATAATAAGATGGAACCTGAGTTCTATTCTCTTAGTTTTGGAGCTGAGGCCATGGCCGAAAGGGATAATTGGTGGCATTCGTACTTAACTGCCAAAAGTGAAAATCTTGGATTTAGCAAGGACAGACTTTTGCAAATGTATTTGCTAAGGATGCTTTCATTGATCAAGAACGAAACTTGGGGGATCGAAAACGATCAGATACCGTTCTTGTCTGGACGATAAACTATGCCAACTAGACATTGGAGGTCGTTCCCTATAAGACTCCTTCAGCACCTTACGAAAATCAAGATGTTCGGGCTTCGTGGGGGGGCTATGGTCGCAAGGCTGAAACTTGAATCCATCACAACCCCTGGGTGTCTATCCACATATGCATCTGACTTGAATGGATGCGTGTTTATGGAAATGTGAATATTTACATGTGCATACGAATGTTGACCTGTCACTTATTGTATATATCATGTCTTCAACTAGGGAATGAAATTGTGGCGTGGGCTGCAGCATAAATGCTAAAAGACTATATTGACAGGCAGACCGTCATCGATGTGTACAACCGCATCTGAAGCCGTGGCGAAAGGAATCTCTACACTCCTACACTTATAAAGCTCTGAGGGGTTTGCCGCCTTTGAAAGAGTATTTGGGTTTGCTACCCATCATCTACTATTGAAGCCTTGGATTGAGAGTGCAACATCTTCTAGTCTGCCTGTATTTGGGAAATCAGTCATCGATTTGAGGATCCAGTTGTGGTTCCGCCACTCATCGAACTTCTACGGGGGTTTGGCTCAGTACATCCATGTGCGGCACTGCGTTTCAGCCGAATGTCTTCCAGTAGAGTTTGGATGCTCTGGACACACGTCATCCTTTTCGGTACTTAGGTTCGCTACACAGTATATATCTTTCGTGGATAAGTGTAGCCCGTGATATGTGCTAAAGTGTTCAGACTCTGGTTTTTATTCTGGTGGTCTCCCAGCATCCCCTACTGTGATTTGCATTTCTGGCTGGGTGGGCCACACCTTTTAAGGATTAGCTTACGGTGTAATAGGGCATGTTAATCAGTTATTCTATTGAAGACCTGTTGTTCGCCATCATCCACCCACTTCCATGTAAATCCGAAAGACAATGTAATTACCCATTTCCGTGATGCACACAAAGTTATATGTGTGTGTATGTGTGTATACATGTGTCATCCACCCATAATATGCTTGCAAGGTTCCAATTTACATCGTGTGTGCAACTGCAGTGGCCTTGCGGTTACATACCCCGGTACTTGCATGTATATCACAAAACAACCTATGTATATATATACATACATATATATATATATAGAGATATATATATATGCATATACATGTGTGTGCTCGTGCATGGGCTTCCAAAGTTCACGAACTTGTATATGGTTGCATAGGCTTCGAGAGTGCGTGAACTTGTATACGTGCATATCTATATGTGTATATATATATATATACATATATAAATACACACACATATATATATATATACATGTATATGTAGATGTATATATGTACAGGTATGGAGGACGTGCTTCCACACAGATTTGAGATTCCGCATCCTCTACCCACCATGCCCATTAGGGGTTTGGGATAGGAGCCTGAGGCCCTCCATTTTCCTTTGAGTGCATGGCTGCCAAAATGCCTCATTGTTGCATACACATATGTTCGCATATTTCAGAAATATTGCACATGCTTCCGTGATACTTATGTATGTACGTATAACCCCGTGTATGTTCATATGTATTAAGCATATATGTATGTGTGCATAAGCTTTGCAGAAGCATGAACATGGAAACAGCATGAACATATGTGTATGTAAACATACACATCCATATGTAGGTGTGTATGCATGCCTGCATGTCATATACCAACATGCATGCACAGACATGTATATAGATACATATATACATTATCATATATATGTAGGTACAAACACCTATATGTATACCAAGGTTGGCTTGCAGGTAATTATAAATGTTCCGCTTCAAATGTAACAAGTGTTTTGTAGCTTGTAATTTTTGCTGGCATTGTCTAAGTTTCCGGGTGAGGGTCCAATATCTTCTACGATGTCCAAGAATGTTGGAAGCCAATGACGACTTTCAGTCTAAGGTTTTGGGTTCGCCACCCAGCATCTCTTGAGACGGTTAAGACCATCATATGCATTTGGGTTCGAGGCCCAATAACTCCTTCTGAACTTGGGTCGCGGTGCAAGGATCTTATTCCCATCATACTTTTACTGTGTAGAATGAATTACCCATCATACTTCTGTCATGTATGAGTGTCATCAGTAGCCCATGTCACAGTTTTCAGGTGTTGGAGCCGCTTTCCTAGGTGGTGGACAACAATAGCAAGCGTAAAGTCTTGACAGAGGGATGTTTCATTGGATAGGACAGGATTGGTGGCATACTAGACACCCTGAAATGATTGAGTAACGCTGGATTGGGAGTGCCAAAGGCCGAAGGCCCCAGGCATCCTCTGGTTACAGACATGCGCCCTCTGGATCTCCGTCCAGAAGGCCCCTGGGGGCGGGGGGGGGGGGGGGGGGGGCAAAAAAAAAAAATGGACCATAGATTTTGCACACCAGATTGGTGCGTGAGGTCTGAGGGCCGAGCGCATCGCAAAACCAACACACCAGATTCTTGTTTTTTTTTTTGCGCCCCCCCCCCCCCCCCCCCCAGGGCTCCAGGGCTCCAGGGCTCCAGGGCTCCAGGCCTCCACACTCCAAGGCCTAGAGCCACACCTTAAGGCCATGCCCTTATGTCCTTGCAAGTTTGTCCCATAACTTTATCTCTCTCGAACCGGTGTTCGGTTATGCCCAAACATTTTCAAATGGTTTGGTGGAATGTGCTGTCAATTCACACTACGTCGTAAAATATTGTATGCTGCTAAAACAATGTGCGGGAAGCGAAGAGCTTCCTGAGCTTGCCATCTGAGAGTGCAAGTGAAAACACGAACACGCGAAAAAACACGCCACCAGGGCGTGATGTTCTGAAACTTTGGCCCCTAAGCCATCAGTCCCAGTTATCCCAAGCCCTGAATGACCCCAAACCCCAGACCCCAGATAACCCTAAACCTGCTGAACCTTTAGATATACTAAACCCTAAACCCCAAATAGTTCTAAACCCGATAAACCCTAAACCCTAATCAACCTCAGATCCATAGCCCAAAACCCCCGATAACCTAAACCCTATAAACCCGAAACACTTACCAACCTTCGACAGCCCTAAACCTCCTTACAAACCCTATAAGCTGGCCTCATCAACCCTGTACCTTAAAGGAAAAAACCATCAACCATAATTATCATAAGCCTTGGATGACCCCAAACCCAGTCCCCAGATAACCTTAGACCCCAAATCCCCTGAGCCTTCGATACACTAAACCCCAAACCCGAAATGATCCTAAACCCGATAAACCCTAAACCCTTCTGAAAAGCCCTATACCTTAAACAACAAGAAATAACCCTACCCCTTCAAACCTCTATGATCCCAAGGAGCCCCCAAATACCCTAACCCCTACATACCCTTAAACCGTAAAACCCAAACATCCTTTTACATACACAAAAATCATATACATCTACATGTACA